GTAGAATTTGTAGAAATATTTTATTTGGAAGGGACCTTTAGAGGTCATCTAGTACAACTCCCATTGGACAATTCTGCAGCTTATTCTTCTTCCCACTTTCCTGGCAATACATTCTCTCCTTTTGGACCAAAATATCTTCCCTAACTTATTCTCATCAACAGAGAGCTCTATATACCACAGCTCTGCTTTGCCATCTGGCTAAGAAAAAAGCACTTGTTTGCTATACATTCTCTCTGCTAAAACAGATCATTTGTTCCTGTGCCTTCAGAGAAATCAGGCTGTCTCTGCAGTGAGAAATTAAAGAGAGGATAAAAACAGAAGCATTTGGTTTTCTAGCGACTGCCTCAGACTCTAGTCAGATGCTGGATGAATATTTGTATTCCATGTTCCCATCTTCTCAGAAGAGCTCCAATAACTAGGCTGTGGTAGATCCTGATGTGGCTATCTTTGCTTCAAATGCTGCCTTATTCTCTGCACACACAGAGCTGACTCACTTCCAGTGCTACAGAAGATTTTGCCATGATTTTGCCTGGCAAAGGGTAGAATAAGGCATATCATTTTAAGTTTGGTCATTCTATTCTGCAGTCAGACTCTGAAATAGTTTCAAGTGTTTCTAGAGCATAGTCTGGCATCTTCTGCTTGTCCTAAGAATGTTACTGACCCATATTTCTTTCATCTGCATTATCTGTCTAACAGATTTAATCAGATACCAAAATACTCCATTCTTGGAGCAAAAATATCCTTTCACTATGGGTCTCTTTGCCTGGAAATGATACTGTTTATTCAGAAAACTTGTAATCTCCATCTGTTTTTCACTCAACCATAAGTATTTACCAATGCAGCCTTACTTCTCATCTTTCACTGAAAGTCTTGAGGTTGCTTTGATATAGTGATATGACACCACATTAAATGGTAGCTACATTTCTTGGGATGAATCTGTGCATGTCATGTGTTCCCATGGGGCCATTAGAGCAGCAGTGGCAAATTCACTTTCCTTCTATTGTTTTGAAATCCTCCAGCTATGAAAGTAGACATATGGTATGTTTCCTGTTATCAGATAAAATAATAATTAGCTGCCAAATGACATATTTGTCTGTGCTTATGAAGAGGAGATATATCTACAAAATAGGATATTTTTGTCTGCATTAAATGTATTGTTTAACAAAAGAATAATAGTATTTTACTTTTGTATGCCAGAACCAGACTTGAGCTAGCTGAAGGCAGGACTGGTTTGGCTTATGGACATATTCTGTGAATGGTTTTGATGAAGTATGCAATCACAGAGTCCCAGAAATTGTGGTTGCCACTGCAACAGCCAAAGATGGAGAATTCAGACCCACAGGACCTGTCCCAGTTCTACACTCACCTCCTTGTCAAGAAGTAGCCTTGCTGGTATTCAGACAAAGGCTCCCTGAATGAATTCTGTGGCTATTGTCCATATATATGCCTTCAGCTACCACTGAGAAGAATTTTTTTGCGATGTTTTTTGCTCACCTTCATGCAGCTGTGGGTTGGTACCAATCAGCCTCTTTGCCAGACTCCAGAAGCCCAGTTCTCTTGCATCTTGCCTCAAATTATGTTAAGACTCTGACCATCTTTTTTGCCATTGTCTGGTGCCTATTTCCTTAATATTCCACTTAAAGCAATGGCCCAAAACTGAAGTCCAGGTAGTGAAATAAATCCACTCATATCTCACCAAGACTAGATTAATTTCTGTATTCCATCTAACCTATTGAGCCCTGACAGGATGAAAGCAAGTTGTTAAGTTGTTAGTCCTTGGTATGGACTTCAGGGAGGACATTTGAAAAATAACAAGTGATCAACATGGAAAGCCAAAGCTAAGCAGTGGAAGCTTGACATGGGAGGAAAATTGTTGTTTAAAGGAAGTAGAAACATACAACTTCATCAGTTCATCATCATCTCAGGGGAAAGGCTGACATTAGTTCAAGCAAAGTGTTTCAGATTTAAATGGTAAAATTTTGAAATGAAAAGTTGTTTTAAGTCAAACAGTTCTGCATTGAAAATATTGGTAGAAAACTGCTAACATTCAAAATTCAGACTTCTGTTTCGAATAGAAGAATTATTAAAACTAAGATGATTTAGAAAAATGTCATCAAACTTCTGCTATTCTTGACAGGGGGAAGGAAAGGAAGGAAAAAAAAAAAGAAAAAAGTGGAACTTCTGTCTTTACTTTTTTTGTATGGCTTGGAACAAAGTGTTAAGAGTAAGAGGACAGAAAGCATCTTCCCCTTTATTCCAGATCATGACTGAATAGTATGAGATAAGCAGAAATGCAGAACATGGCTAATTGCAAAGTAAAACTCTGCCAAAGCAGTCTGGTCCTGTCTGGGAACTGGAACTATGATACTGCTTTTGTCACCCAGCCCATGACTCATATGTCAGCATCTTGTTCTGTACTGTTTTAGGATGATTTGTAACCTTAGGACCTTGGATGGTCCAAATGCACTCTCATTTGTTCTGCATTCTACTTTCCTAAAATTGAAGTCTGCCTATTCATCCCTTCTGGAGACTCTTCTCTGTTGCTCCAGATGTTCCCTGTTGATTTTCAAACTCTAGTTCAAGCTAGTTTTACCACATGAGCTCATTGGCTGCACAGATGAAACATGTGCAGCACAAGACTTTGAAATGTTTTCAGAACACAGAAAATATGTTGTTTAATGCCCTAATTAATGGAGTATGTAGTGGCCATGTCAACTTGTTAATGATGTACAAACATTTTTAGGTCACTGTAATTTTAAGGAAGTGCAACTCTTACTGGAAGAATGCTTACAAAACATCAGGTTGCTTTCTATCAGAGAAGTTCTTTCACTCTGAACACTCCATCGAGAAAAGTAAAGAAAACACAAGACTACACTGAGTTTGCCACTATGAGCAATATTTTGGCAATATTTTGGCAAAGCAGTGAATGTATGTAATCTTTACTCTGCAATTGTCTGAACTGAGTTAGAAAAGGATATTTCAAACATCTGCCTGCATTCTTCCCACAGATATATTTTCCAAAATGATGTTATGGGAAGTTGGTTTTTCATTACTTGCAGATCTCAGAAATATTAATGGTTGACTCACTGTGGATTTTTTATTTTCTTAAGCTATTGAATGTTATGCTTCATGAAGAATGTTCCTTTCTGCTCAGCTTACAGTGCACATCAAGAATAAATCCAACTGGCACTTGACATCTATAAAACTGTCTTACATTTTCTGTGTTCAGGAACCACCAGTGTAAAATATATTTTGGAGATTTCATGTCTGACATCAGTTTTAAGAAGGTATCTAGAAACTCATGGATGCTCTGGGAGGCCGTGCCCGAGTAATCATATTTTCCTCTTCTTGTTATGTGTCCTGCAGAATCTGATTTATATCTCTGCCCTGCTGCTGGCTCACTCATCATTAGTATTATCTTGTGATAGTTGCTGAGCATTCATAGGGATTTGGGGATTTGCTGTGAAAGTATAACAAGGAAAACCTGATAGCACTGTGTTTACTGCTGATCTAGCTGTAAGAACTGGTTCTTTGTCAACCCATCTGTCTTGTATTTAGTAGTAATCCAAATATTCAGCAATATTCAGCTCAGAATTTCAAACTGAGTAAAGCCAAAAAGCAAATTTCTACCTTGATAGCCTGATTTGAGCCAGGTGTTAGTTGACATCTGGCTGAACGTGAACCAGTAGTGTCCTCACTGTGGACAAGAAGGGCAATAGCGTCCTGACTTGTATCAGAAATAGTGTAGGGTTAGAGAAGTGAACATCATGCTGTATTCTGCTTTGGTGAGGCTGTGCCTTGAGTACAGTGTTCAGTTCTGTGCACCTTGCTACAAGGCAGACATTGAGTCCTGGAGGTTGGATATTAGGAAAAATTTCTTCTCCAAAAGAGCGGTGAGTCATTGGGACAGGCTGCACAAGGAGTTGGTGAAGTCACCACCTCTGCAGGTGTTCAAGGAAGCGTAGATGTGGCACTGAGGGACATGACATAATGGGCATGGTGGTGATGGGCCAACAATTGGACCAGGTGATCTTAGTGACTTTTTCCAACCTTAATGATTCTATGATTCTAAGCCCACTGATGTAAGCCAGGTCCTACTGTGCTCATCAGAAATCAAGAAAAGCACTTGCTCTTTTGACCTGTAGTAACCAATACTCCTGCTTTCACACCCTGGCAATGTATAATGAGATAACTCTTCTGCTGAGCTACAACTAATCTCCCTTTGTCCCACATTATCTCTTTGCTCTAGCTTACAGCCTCCTGAAGCTAGCCTTATTAGGCTTAAAAATAACCCTTCCCAGGCATGCCTTCTTCTCTATCATCTCCTGTATACAGTCACAAATCACAAATGTGTCCTGATCTTACTTCTTCTCATTTGTTTCTCAAAACAGTCAGAAGACTGTAGACAAATGTAATGTCATTTGTGTGCAAAATGAGTAACATTTAGAAAGTAGCTGTTTTTCATGACAACATAACCAGTTGTTTCCATACTTGTGTCTTTGCTGTAGCTTTACAAGCTAGGTAAAGCCCTCACAATGGAAACTCCACAGCCAACTTGCCCTTTCAGATTCATTTTGATATGTAATCTATTTTATAGTGAAATAAAAGTTGTCCCTTTTCAATGTGCCTTTGAGCCTTTCCTTTTCTTCATCTTAACTGAATTCAAGATTAGTCCGTCTATGAGTGTCTTGCACTGTTGGGAAAAAGTAATTCTAACAGCAGAAATAGCAGAAATGCAAAATTTTGCTCTTCATATGTTTGGAAGCAGCAATATTCATAAGGTTTCCAAACTGGATCCTCAACAGAGCTCTCATGTTTCCATCAAGGTAGACATAAAATTGCTTTTTTTCTCATGCGTTTACATGACAGGCATCCATACTGTGTGAATGGGGTGAAAATGTTTTGAATTACAGCTTCTCTAAGCATGATTTTCACAATGTTTTTAGAGAGACTGATAAAATTGCTCCACTCTCACTGGGGATTTGCCTCCCATTCAGATATCTACACAATACTACTCCCTTTTTAACTGCGGAATTGAAAGGTAATTCTAGATCCTAAATGTGGTGAAAAATCAGCATTATGCACTGAGCTGTCAAGCTCTTTTTCTGTTGGGTTTACACTAAGCAATCTCTGTGCTTTCCCAGTGATGGTACTCAGAGATGGATATTGCCTCATTACATACATTCTTTTTATATACAAACATACATACATACGTATATATAATTCATTTTAACTTCTTTATTAAGCTCCAGCCCCTGCGTTCTCCTGCAAACAGTGTTGCATCAGGTTGTTAAGGGGATGATGCAGCTCTCTCAATCTGAGTCTCCTGGGGTGATTTTCAAAGAGCTTTGAGTGAGAACATTTGGATCTGTACGTTGTACGTAGAATTGGCTCTACTGATGTTTCTGCTCAAGGCTGACTAAATAGTTCAGCCAGTAGGTGGAACCAGGAGAAAGCAGATGCACCACTTGGAGGAGAAGGGAGGAATTCTCAGTCCATTCCTCAGATATGCATGTGTAGGTGTCCACTTTAAGTGTTGCTATTAACTTCAGTGTCCTGGCTTAGGACAGTCAATCTGAAAGAAATATGGTTATTTCTAAAGAGTGATTAGCTGCTGCTGACAGCCCTGGGTACACAGATCCAACAGCGAGCCTGTTAGGGGCAGTCTGCAAATCAGATGATTTGATCACATAATCTTCTTTTGATAATAAGGAGAGTATTATAAAAAAGGTCTCCACTTCAACATCTTTCTCCTGTGAGTGTGCCAGAGCTGGAGGACAGGAGATAATTCAGATTGCATCTCGAAAATGTTCAGAAGGGCAGTATCAGAAATGTAGCTTAATTATCTCCTGTCCTCCAGCTCTGGCACACTCACAGGAGAAAGATGTTGAAGTGGAGACCTTTTTTATAATACTTTGAGCTGCTCTACAGTTGGAAAATAGAGACAGTCCACCTTTTTTCTCATCAGTAAAATAGAGGGGAAGAACACTGATAACTTTTCTCTCCTTTCTTCTCCAAGACAAGACCTACGTTGTCTTGAGAAAAAATTAGCTGAAAGATTTTAAGACTAAGATCTTACAGCATTGGAGCAGTTAAATGAATACATGCAAATGTACTTTTAAAGATCTATAAGAAGTGGAAGTAAAGGAATATATTGCAATGTATCTCAGCCTTTATTCTAAAAACAAAGCTTGAGATTTCCTCATGTATTATGTAACAGTGTTGCTGTTCTCTTGCAATTTGGGCTGTATGCATTAATTTCAACACTGCATCTTGGTCTTTCCAACTTTAAAAAATAAAACAAACTTACATCTATGGTATTTTCCAACAGATTGGAAATACACCTTTCCAGTAGGTAGAATATGCTGCAAAAACTCTGGTATTCATATCTTATCTTAAAAATCTGCATAATAAAACTTGTGGCTATTACAAGTATTGATTTTGTGGCCGTGGTACCCACTCAGACACTTTGTTTTCTTCTTCTCTTTTCTTGACTGTGAACCTGGAAATTATCAGGAAGTTATTGCTAGTGAAATGTTATTATCTGTGGATACAAAAAGAAATGATTTTGGGGTTTGCCTAGCATAAATTAGGAGAGATGTTATTACAGAGAAATACTTCAGTCAGTAAGTGAGAATGGATTTTTAATCCCCAGTAGCAACATAGTTAGATCTCGTTAATACCTTGCAATGGAGCATCTTCTCCTCAGCACCCAACACAACAGATTTGCTGACCCCAAGTATGAAGAGTAGTTATAAAAATGAACTTAATTACCAATATCTGGAAAAAAATTTTCCTAGCAGACGCTTTTTCTGTTTTAAAATATGTTTTTCAACTCCCCATCACTATTGTTACATTTCTCTTCACTCTCATGCTGAATTTCATACAAAATAGTTGTCCTCCTATGTATTATATTGACCCTTAAGACACGATTCTTGAAATGGTAACTTACACGAAAGTTTTTGTTGTGCTGTGCCTTTGTTGTTGTTGTTAATTCTACTTTGATTTTGGTAAGGATGCCTGTTGATGAGGACCATTACTGTGTGGTTTTGATAGTAACCATGGAAACGATGGATTTTATTATGTTTTTTAGAAAACATTACTCGCTGTGACTTAACCATAAATAGGAAAGTATCCCAAAAGGCTCTGAGATGCTGCAGTAGAGGGGTTAAATGACTTTTCCAAAGGGATTTAGGTATCCCAGTGGTGACAGATGGCCATGAGAAAAGGCCAAGTATTTATAAATGTGTAGAATTGCTGCTTTTATAACAAAGGGAATCAGGAGGGTAGAGGAAGAAGGCCTGGAAGCTGCACAGGTAGCACACTTGATCTGGTGCATGATGGACACATTTCAATATATGGTGGTGACCGAGCCTTTACAAGTCCTTTACAAGTATGCAGTCTTAACCCTCACCTATTAACTATAATCAATGGATTGACAGGACTTACTGATTACTTTCTGTATGTTGATTCACAGACATTTAATGTAGATAATGTAGATACACATAGGGCTGTTTGCTTGCCCTTATTAACAGTAGAAACAATGGTCTGCGAAGGGATTTACTTACAGGGTTGGGCCATGGCAATGGGCCCTTTAAATAGCTGTGTGACTTTTGTCTGTCTATCTGGATTTGATTAAGCACTTTTTTACTCATCAGCAACAAAGTAAATAGGTTTATTGCACTTGAAGAGGCTTCTCAAGTGACAGATTATTGAACTTTCTCAAACTATTCTGAGTGGAATGAAAAATACCATTAAAGGGACAGGGCTTTTCATTGTTCTGGACATTCCTCTTTTAACAACTTTGGCAGCATTAAGGAGCTTTAAAGTGGGAATAAATTATATTGGTATGTTTTAGTTTAAACATGAGTTTAAATGTGATTTCAAGCCAACTTTAAGGCCAGCTCTGTGTAAAGGAGGCCTTAATGGATTTGGGAATGATGCCCAGAGCAAACACAATGCCTATTTGGCAGAGATTAGCAGTGAGTTAACAGTTTAGTGTTCTACATAAAGGATAACTAATTACTAAGATACTTATCTTCAAATATAGCACTAGCAGTGGCAATTCTTGGCTTTTCCCAACAAAGCCTTTGTTTTGATTGGAGTGAATAGAAAGCCAGCCAACCCCCACCCCGTGTTTTGTTTTTTTGAGACATTTGACACTGTAAAGAAAACAATATATTGGAAAATATATAGAACCAGGAGAAAGCAGATGCACCACTTGGAGGAGAGACAGGACGAATTCTCAGTCCTTTCCTCAGATACGCATGTGTAGGTGTCCACTTTAAGTGTTGCTATTAACTTCAGTGTCCTGGCTTAGGACAGTCAATCTGAAAGAAATATGGTTATTTCTAAAGAGTGATTAGCTGCTGCTGACAGCCCTGGGTACACAGATCCAACCAGCGAGGCTGTTAGGATATTATAAAAAAGGTCTCCACTTCCAACTCTTTCTTTTATATACAGAATATACAGTTGTTGTGGGAGAAGCCTAAAGCACTGCACGCTTCACTTGTAAGAGGAAGGCAGAAATTTACCTATTGGTATAAATAGATACAAGATGGTAATTTGAACAATGACTTAACAAGATTTGAAATGGCTAGTTATTCTTGACTATTTGCTACACAAAAGGTGGGGGGTGAAAAATGAATCTAAGCTCAAATCTTAGCAAAACTAGAGTAGTTCAAAAACAATAAATCACAGAGGATCTGTCAGCAAGGCATCACCAAGTCCTGAGTGAATCTCTGCATGCATGTTAAGTATCCTTGAGACTTGCGCCTACTCAAGGGGAGATTCTGGTGTGCAGCCAGATGCTTGCAAGGAGAGAGTTACTCTGCCAGGGGTTCTTAGACTGCTTGGTATTTTTGAGTGGAATGGTTGACTCACAGTCATACAGTTTAGAATTGGTTCTGTTGAACCAGGTGTCTGTTATCAGGTGTTTGAGCACCAGTGGTGAAACCTTGATTGTTATTAGTCCCAAGAACAAGATCTTTTCCACCTCATTGTGTGCACTAGGCCTTAAATAGGCCACAACGATCAGCCTGGATTGTGGTGGGAGAGGGGGGTGTTGGGGCGGGAAAGGAGTGCACTGTCACAACAGTACAAGATAGCCAGGAATGGATGGGATTAATTTAGCAGTTGTTAGATCTTGTCTTTCCTTGTTCTCTGCACTTTGCAGAGTTACAAATGCATTCTTTGCAGCCCTCACATCTTGTCACTGGGGAAAGTTTCTACTTTAGGACTGAAAGAGATCATCTCTGTTGAATGTGTGTGTGTGAACACTACAAAGGATGGATAAAGATGGGGATGGTTAAAAGAAATGCATGTCTTTTTTATTCTTTTTTTAAAATGTTATAGCCAGAGTATAGCTTCCTTGCTTAGCACTGGGAATCTCTCAGGGAACTCAATTTTATGTGTGTTGTGTTACAGGAGGCAAGCAAAACATTATTCAGAGGTGAGTGTACTTGAATATCAAAATGCTCAGAGCCAGTTGGATAGATTTTATTTCGGAGAGTCTCTTTGCTTTTCTCTAACCTTGTTTCTGTTCAAGTTAAAGTGCTAAGGTATTGTAAGAAGGCAGTTGTATTAATGCTATTGCAAGAAGAGAATAGGTGGCCAAGCCATCCTCAGGAGATCCATGATAGAGTGTAAAATCTGTAGATTTTAGTTCATCCTCACATCAAAGAAGTTCCTAGCTGCATGTCAGTGTGTTGTGGGCTCACAGACCTTTTTCCTGTCCTCTTGTGAGAGGATGTTTTGAATGCAAGACCCACATAACTAGGGATAAATCCAAGGAAAAGGAAGTCAGATAGAGCCCATTTTCCTGTGTTTTCAAAATACAACACTTTAACCTCTTTTGCAGAAGAGAAGGCTCTGGGAAGATCTCATTGTGGCCTTCCAATACTTGAAGAGAGCATATAAACAGGAGGGGGAATGGCTGTTTATGAGGGGATTGTGACAGGACAAGGGGGAATGGTTTTAAACTGAGACAGGGGAGATTTGGGTTAGATATTAGGAGGAAGTTTACCACTCAGAAGGTGGTGACATACTGGAACAGGTTGCCCAAGGAGGTTGCCCCATCTCTGGAGGCATTCAAGGCCAGGCTGGATGTGGCTCTGGGCAGCCTGGTTTGGTGGTTGGCGACCTGCACATAGCAGGGAGATTTAAACTAGATGATCATTGTGGTCCTTTTCAACCCAGGCCATTCTATGATGATTCTATGATGACCCTGGTTGGAGACCTGAATGGCAGCTACTGTTGCCTGAGGGAGCCTTCAAGTTGTCAAAAGGCTCTAATGCTATCTCTCAACCAACAGGCAACAACAGCTATGGTGAAGCATCCTCTACCACACAAGTACCCTCTGTCATAGCCAAGTACCCAGGATAACATGGACCGGACTCATCACGTCTTCATCTCATATATCAGATTTTCCTACATGTTCAGAGAGGAGAGGTCTGGAAAAGGCTGAGTAACAGCAATCTGGATCTATGCAGTTTGAATGATAGTCCAAGGTGCAGAGTCTTTGTCCTTGGTTGACATCTGAAGGGGTCTATGGTAGAGCAGCGCATTTATGACATT